GGGGGGCTTCAACTTTACAACAAAAGTCTTGACGAGGGACCTGTGTACCTGGGTCTCGGTAAAATGGTGAAGTTCTGTGCTGACAGGCTCACGACTGGAATGTTCTGCCTGCACCATCTGAATTCCCTCGCACACTACACCATGTCCATGTTCGGTCAAGGCCTCTCTCTGCACTAGTTCATGTTCAAGGCTGACATGGGAAGCACAGCTGACCCTTGAACAGCACAGGAGTTAGGGACCTTGAGACCCAGGCCATTGAAAATCCACCTATAACTTGAGTCCCCACAACTCTACTACAGTCAGCCCTCTTCACCTAGGGACTGGTTCCAGGACGCACGCACGCACGCACGCATGCACACACACCCCAAAATCCTTGGATGTCGCAGTCCCTTATACAAAATGACAAAACAATGCACACAGCTGGTTCTCCACATCTCTGGTTCCCAACTGAAGATTGAAAATACTGCTTTCATTCATAACTGGTTGAATATGCAGATGCAAAATCCAGGGATACGGAGGGATGACTGTATATTTCTTGAAAAAATCCACGTGGAAGTGGACCTGTGCAGTTCGAACCCGTGTTGGTGTTGTTCAAGGGTCAACTGTATATGCAGCTATTACCTCTCCCCTTTGAGCCCCGCCCAGGGAAGTCGCCGGGAAAGCTCTCTCCGGCCAAGTCACTGGGACCGGGAAGAGCCCATCACAGCGTGGGCCTGACCATGAGCTGTTTCACCTGCGGAGCAGCAAAGCCCTCCCGGATTTTTAAAACATTTCTTACACTGATTACAGAAATGATTGAAGCCATCTGACTTACCGACTCCACTGAACTTGAAGCTATAATTGGGCAGATAAAAAAAAAGTGCTGTATTGCAAAGTCCTATCAGTTTTTAATCTATGTAATTGGATAAATATTTGGCCTTACCCCACTATGCTTAGTCTGCGATACAAGTTCAAATTCTTACCAAAGGAAGCTACTTCCAAGACCAACCACAAAACCAAGCGAGTATTTCCCTTTTCTAAAGTCAAGTGAGTAAACAACTCAGCAGCAGCTAACACTGGCCATTAGTATCACCAAAATTACAGTAGCAAGCCTTTTATTCCCAGTGACTATCAAGAAATTTGAAAATAACTGCTATTTTCCCCAAAAAGGATGTTTTTCTCAATAGTGAAAGTAAACAGTTAGTCTAACTTCCAAAATCCTGCTCCTCAAACCAGTGCCGAAGGCCAAGCCTTAGGATGCCTGTTGGGCAGCAGTTTCTACAGTCCAATCTTCTCAGGACCTTAAGCGCCTTCGCGGCCAGCATCACACACCTGGTGTGCTGGCCCTTTGTGCAACGCAGTCTCAGGCAGCAGCAGCACATTCAAGTCACACTGGCCATTGCCAACCACCCTCAGAATGTTGGGAGACTCATTTCATCATCCACTACAAACAAACATGAAGGGATGCAAGTCAGTTCAGCATTCACTCTGAACGGCACGCCCAAGTGCTGAGAGAGTGCAGAATTTACCTCTGACAGGAAATGAGCCCTCGGAAACAACTAAAAATGGTTCAGTATGGTATTCAAACATCGGTTCCCTCCTTATACAGGTGGAAGAAAGTGGGGTACTCAGTAGGCCACAGGCTAACCCTTTGGCACAGGCACTGAAGAACAGCCAGTGCCACAGGTTCTGCAGAAGATATCCCATGGTGTACAGTTTTCCTGAGAAAGATCCCAGATTTTGCTCTGAATCAGTCTTAACCTGATTTGTTTTACAGTTATGCTGTTATTCCTCGACATATTCAGAAATGGTCACTTTATTTCAATCCAGACAGCTCAGCATAGTACAAATGACAGAAAGATCCATTTGTTCACAATTAGGTTTGCTTTTTGCTTTAATACCGGGGGATAAACTGAAAACAACAACACATACATAGTTTTTATCATTTGTATCCTTCATTCACTTCACTGAGGGGAAGGCCAGGGCCTTGGGATAGTCTGGGAAGTCCTGCCTATTCCTGGGAGGGAAACAGCGGCGGAGTTTCACTCAGAATAATGCATGATGGACTCGACGTAATTCCCCGGGAAGAGCCCCGTCACTCCATTCATAACTCCCTCATACCAGCCATCGTCGTTCTTCTTGATGACATAAATGATGGCTCCTTCCTGAAAAGACAGCTCGTCTTCCTTGTCTTTTGTATAATCATAAATTGCCACAACTAGAGGGGGAAAAACAGGATGTGAAAAGTAATATTCCTACAAAGATAGAACCAAACAAATGAATATCCATCCTTTCCCAACTTTTACAGCACTTCAAACAGTGACTTTCTAAACACAGGCCCAAACCCCTTCTTTTCCTGATACCCAGGCCTGTGTAATGGGATCCCACCTTCTTGGGGAGGATAGGCTCCAAGCAGTTTAAATGGAAGAAAAAAAAAATCAGTGAAGTTACCTTTCGGCAGCCTATGGAGAAATACCTCACTGAGGCGCGACAATCCCAGAATCGGGAAAGATGACTATTCAGTTGAGCTTGTTGTGTCAAAACACGTCTTTCAGCATTAGAACTATCTAGTGCAGTGGGACACACCATGAGAGGCAAGTGAGGAGATGAGATGAACTAAAGGGATATGGGAGTCCACGCCTACTCACTGAGTACAATCGTGGTTGAGTTCCCACAGGTTCCATGTGCAAATGCTGGGCGTCCATTATATATGTACTCTTTCCAAACACATGGGGTATTATGCCACCAATTTAACACATCCCCATAACACACTAAAAGTGTCATGGAAACCAAGGTACCTGTAAGCTCTCCTGAAACTTTTCTTGGTTAAATAATTTGGTAACTGAGGCCTTTAGGTGTTATCTGGGACAGCCTCAGGCTCCTGTTGCATCTACCTTAACAGTTTATTTAAACTGGGAGAGCCTAGTGCTCAAATCCACTTGAAGATTTACCTTTTTAAAAAAATATATTGTTTCTTATTTCAGAGAGGAAGGGAGAAACAGAGAGATAGAAACATCAATGATGGAGAGTGAATCATTCTCTGGCTGCCTCCTGCACACCCCCCAGTGGGGATGGAGCCTGTAATCCAGGCACGTGCCTTGCCTGGGAATTGAACCATGACCTTCTGGTTCACAGGTTGATGTTCAACCACTGAGCTATGCTGGACTGGCAGATTTCTCTTTTCTGTAAAGAGATCCTCTGTATCTTTTTATATCACTCAGAATTTCACTCAACAACAATCTCCATCTACCCATCATTCTGAGAAGCATATACTGACTTTTTTTCTCATGTAACTTTAAACCTCAAATAAGAAACAAACTACAATAGGAGTTTATGATATAGTGCAACTTGCCCCAGTTCATTTGTGTGTCTGGCCTACTTTAGAACTAAATGGCTTTGTTAAACTCTGAGTTTTTGCCATTAGAGTGATCTGTTAAATGTCAGAAAATACTTCAGAGAGGCCTAGGAGGAAATTAGTGTGTATTTCTCAAAACATAACCAAACCCCTAAACACAAATATATATTAAATGACAAAAAAGTTTAACTATGAAAGTAAAAGAAAACAAGATATGTAAAGTCTTTACTATTTCTAGTCAACCTAATCTTTATCACTTTGGTTAATACTCGATGCTTACCAAAATGCAAAACCAATGAAAAAATAATTCAAATGAGACTGTCCCCAAGTCCTGCTAATTCCACCTCCTAAAGCTCAAAACCAACACCTGCATCATCTCCAGCGTCACGCTCGCTGCCCGTCCATCAGCAGCTGTCTTCTTATGGAATATACCTAACCCAGGGGGACCTGAAGACTTTCCATGCAGTATGAGTGTCAGATGATTAGGGGAAACTCCTTCTAGAGTCCCAAGTTTTATAAATATTGCTTCCAAAACTGACCTGAGATACCTCAGCCAGGCATCAGTCACAAAAGTTCTCATTTCCTCTCTACCATTCTCCTACTTGTTAGTACAGTGTACTGTTTTAAAGTATAAAAGACTTCCGGGTATCAAAGAAACAACTCAAAATCTTCGTGTGATATTCAAAAAGAATTACTCCACTGAGTAACCCAACTTTTTGCAAGTGAACGTTAGGTGGCTCCATTCCTTTAGACCAGTGGTTCTCAACCTTCCTAATGCCGCGACCCTTTACTACAGTTCTTGTGTTGTAGTGACCCCCAATTTCATTGTTACAAATTGAACATAATTAAAGCATAGTGACTAATCACAAAATATGTAATTATATATGTGTTTTCCAATGGTTTTAGGCGACCCCTGTGAAAGGGTCCTTTGACCCCCAAAGGGGTCGCGACCCACAGGTTGAGAACTGCTGCTTTAGACAAACATTACGACTAATGGAGTTATCAGCTGACATGTAAAACATGTTTAAAGATGGAACATTATTTTACTTTTGGCAAGTAACTCAGAAGGAGGTGAAAGAATTGAATGACAGTGCCACATGAGAAAATGCTTCCATTTGTATCAGCTTATGAATGGGAACAAGGTTTTCAGCACACTGCTGTAGCTAAGGTCCTCAGCTCTTCCTTAGAAAGGTATCCAACTTGGTCTTCCAACTCCTACTTGCTTCTTTTCTTTTATTTAAAAAAATTTAATTGATCTTAGAGAGAGGAAGGGAGTAAGAAAGAGAAAGAAACATCGATGTGAGCAAGAAACATTGATCAGTTGCCTCTCGCACATGTCCCAACTGGGCATCAAACCCACAACCTTCTGGTGTACAGGACGAAGCTCCAACCAACTGAGCCACACCAGCCAGGGCCCTGCTTTCCTTTCTATTGTACTCTGCACTGTCATCAGGTAATTGTTTTTAAGTTAGGATATAATACATGGGAATTTATCATTAACCTGCGTAAAAATCTTCCACAATTTTCTATCATCAGATTTTTTAAAAAAGGAAAAAGATTCAAACATCTCAGCATGGTACTCGAGGACTTCCATCCCAATTACAACTTCCTACACGCACACCCCAGGCCCTCTCTCCCTACACCCACCCACGTCCTCTTGCACATGGCACCGCTCACCATGCTAAACAGCCATGCCTTCACTTAGGACCCCTCGGCCTGGAGGCCCTTGCTCGCTCCCCTCTCTGCCTGAGAAAATCTTCATATTCAGGGCACATCACAAATGCCAGGTCCTCTGACAAGCTTCCTGGGATCCCCAGACAGAATGAATGGAACTCTTCATTTTCTGGCGATCACTAATGGAGCACTCGTGCTGATTTTTAGAGATCGGAAGGTGAACAAGACAAACAGTCATAGTCTCGTGAGGACAGAAATGTAATCTGATAATTACCACACACTGTTGATACTTCTACCAAGAAGTTATATCACTGAGCTGGGGGAATACAAGAACAGCTGGCTCGGAAGGGACAGAAGATTTAATGCTAGTGAACTGTAGAGCCAAGACTCAATCAATCCCAGGTCTGCCAAAGCCCCCGCTTAGGAAAGGCTAAGAATGTGCGCGCTGCAGTCATACCACCAAGGTCAAATGCCAGCTCTGCCAGTTATTAGCTCACAGAACACATGAACGTCCCTAAACTCCCTTTTCCTCACCTGTATAATGGAAACCAGCTGGCTAACACCGCAAAGCACTGTTCTATTAAGTGAGACAATGCACATACAACACCCAGCCCCGAGCTTGTATATGTTAAACAGCCCATATAAACTTGAGCTTTTATCATCATTAGTAACTATTAAGATATACTGTCTTTTCTCTGACACTAACATTTTCTGTTATATTCTATAACAAATTACCTTTTAACATCATTTTCTAGTCTGCAAGATGGGGAAACTATCTTACATATGTGGTTAAGTCTTATATTATGCCAGGCACATGACGGGCAGTAATCAAGGGTTACAATAAGCCTCCTATGGCTGTGGCTCTCAACCCTGGAATTACCTGAGGAATTTCTAAAAATTCTGACACAGTCCCACCGATTCTGGTTTAATAGGCCTGGAGGGGCAGACGTATTAAACACTCGCTCGGTGACTCACACGTGCAGGCAGGGTTAAGACCGGGTCCTAAGGTCTAAGATAGCAAAACGAGTCAGTAGGCAACACCTTAACATTCACACACACACAAGCAAAAGAGCCATCATAAGCTGAACACGGTTGGTTATGTTTTTGTTTTGCCAGAAAGAGTAAGGAAGAGCTTATTTGGTTTTCATGTTTTGAAAAATTTGAACTTAACAGAAATAAGCCAAACCTTTAAAAACAGTTTAGGGAACAATTTCAGGCATGTTCTTTACAACTTTACAGGGTTCCTTAGACTCAAAACAAACTTACTTTCTTCTCACAAATCTCTCCAGATTTTTACAACTGTTCACTAAAGAGTCAATTTTTAGAAAGCAAAACTTCATCGCGCTCTTCTCTTAAGGAATAACTGAGGTAGCTTTCCACGGCTGGAATGGTATCACTTTGTCTAGGACAGTGTTAAAATCAGCTAAGGAATCTGTAAAACATGTCAATGCCTAAGGCCACAGCCTAGTTTAGTACCTTGGGCTCTTTTCTCCCCGCTTAAAAAGCTTAAAAACCAGCTTTACTGAGGTATTAATTTAGATACAAAACACACGCATTTAATTGCAGAATTCAATGATTTTCACAAGTGTATGCACCTGTATATATGATAAATGTATAACGACGACCACAATCATCAGATACAACATGCCCATCACCCCCCAATTTCCTTATGCCCCAGTGTGAATTCCTTCATCCACCAGCACCGGTCCCTGAAAGCCACTGATCTAGATTTCATGTAGATGGAGTGAGTCATAAAGTAAGAGTCTTTTTGGCCTTTTTCATTAGGGTGACACTTGAAATCCGTCCACATTGTTGCTTATAACAGGAGTTCCTTTTCACTGAACAATATTTCATTGAATAGATGGATATATCCCACAACTAATTTATTCACCAGTTTAAAAACATTTGGGTTGTTTCCAGGTTTTGGCAACTACGAACATTCAAGTCTTGGTGTGAACACAATCGTCACTCCTCGTAAGTAAACCACTACAGGAAGGCGGCCAGATCCGCTGGTAGTTGTATGTCTGGCCTCATAAGAAACTGCCAACTGTTTTCCAAAGTGACTGAGACATGTTGCATTCTTATCAACCATGTGTAAGAGCTCCCACTGCACCGCTCTCTCTCCCACTTGGTGGTGTCAGTGTTTTTAATTGTAGCCATTCTAAGGTGTGTGTAGTGGTACTGAGTTTGGTTCACAGTGGCTTTAACTTGCATTTCCCTCAGAACTAACACTGAGCATCTTGCCTGGCCAGTGTGGCTCAGAGGTTGAGAGTCGACCTATGAACCATGAGGTCAGGGTTCAATTCCAGGCCAGGGCAGATGCCCAAGTTTCAGGCTCAATCCCCAGTAGGGGGTGTGCAGGAGGCAGCCAATCAACGATTCTCTCTTATCAGTGATGTTTCTATGTCTCTTGCTCTCTCTGAAATCAATAAAAAAACGTATTTTAATACTGAGCATCTTTTCATGTGCTTATTTGCAATTCATGTGTCTGTTTGGTAAAATGTGTTCAAATTTTTTTCCCTACCAGTTGTCACCTTAGTGAATTATTTTGCAAATATTTTTCCCAGGCTAATATGGCTTGCCTTGTCATTTCTTCACAGTGTCTTTGAAGAAAAGTTTAATTAATGAAGTTCAATTTATCAATTCTTTTCTGTTTAAGTTTCATGTATTTATATGTGGTCTCCAAGATTTTTTCCTGATCCCAGAACATAAAGTTTTTTCTCCTACATTTCCCCCCAGAATTTTTATAGTTTAGGTTTTACATTCAGATCCAAAATACATTTCAAATTAACTTATGTGTATTGTGAGGTAAGGGTGGAAGTTCATGTTTTGCATGTGGATATCCAATTGTTCAACATTGTTTGTTGAAAACACTATCCTTTCCTCACCGAATTATTTGGGTTCTATATATCCTAGTCTATTGATTTATATTCCTATTCTTACACCAGCACCAGTCTTGAACACTGCAGCTTTCCACTAGAACTCTGAAGTCAGGTAGTGTAATTCCTCCAACATTAGACTTCTTTTCAGATTGTTTTGACTATACTAGGTCATTTGCATTTCCATATAACTTTTAGAATCGTCTTGTCAATTTCTATAAGACTGACTTCTGGATTTTTATTGGTATACCATTTTGGGGAAAACCAGTCTCAACAATAATGATCAAAGAGCATCATCCAGTTCTCAAATTTTTTTAAGACTTTTATTAATTTCTCTTAATGTTTCAGTTTTCATCATGCAAGTCTTTCATATATTTCATTCAATTTATCCCTAAGTATTTAATATGTTATTACAAAAGTTTTATAAATTTCAGTCTCCAACTGTTTGTTGCTGACGTATAAAAATGCAATTAATTTTATACATTGACCTTGTAACCTCTTTAGTTCTACCAGCTTTTTGTAGATTGCTTAGGATTTCCTAAATGAGATCTTCTGCAAAAAAAGACTCTTTGATATTATCTCACATATGTTACTGTGTTTAGTATTTGTTTTTTTCCCATGCCTCATTTTGAATAGTTTGTATTATCATACCACCAAGGTTGCTGATCTTTTCTTCTGAAGTGTCACTTCGGATACCATATTTTTTATCTCCAAAAAAGTGAATTTTTCTTTTTTAAAAATGCACTCGTTTTCTCTTATGTTGTTTTCCTTTATCTTCTTGAACATATGTGGCATTTATAATAGCTATATTACACCCTTATCAGGTAATCCTATTATCTTGGTCATTTCTGGTCTATTTCCATGAACTGTCTTTTCTTTTAGTTATAACTTACATATTTTCCTGCTTTTTTACATGGCTTGCAATTGAATAGCTGTTGGACACTGTAATCCTGACTTTTGTTGAACAGTGTTGAATTTTGTCCTGGAGCTCAATTAAGTTACTTGGAATCAGTTGGATCTTTCAGAGGTCTGCGGTAAGCTCTGTGAGGGCAGTCCACAGCCACTCCTGTCTAGGGCTAATCTGCCCCCATTACTAAGGGGACACACTTTTGAGGCCTCTTCTCTAAGCCTGTGTATTACACGTCTTTCTATTCTGATGGGTTTGGGAACATGAACTATTTCCAGGCCTGTCTCATGTGCAGTAATTTTTCTGCCTAGTCCTTTCTGGTTTTGTTCTTTCAATATATCAGGTTGTTTCTTCACACACATGTACAAATCAGTGCTCAGTTAGACTCAACGGGACCTTCCGGAGATCTCCTGAGCTCTGTCCTCTGTGGCCTCCAAAAATTCTCATCTCTACCTTCTCTACACAAGTCAATGCCCACGCTCGGTTTGGTTACATCCTCCTTGCACTATGCGCTGGAAACTGCCTCCAGGTAGCAAGCCAGGGCCCCAGGCTCACCTTGAGCTCCTCTCTCTGCGCTCAGAGTCCACCACTGCCTAGTGTCTACTGACTCACAACCGTTACCTTAATTTTTTCTGGGTTCCTGTTTTAGGGGAGAGGGTAAATCGAATTACTGTTGCTCTATTTTGACCGGAAGTGCAAGTCTACCATTTCTTAATATAAGTTCCCCAGGTGATTCTAAATGTGGGGTCAGTTTTGAAATCAGTGAGTAGCTTTAATTTCCTTAAAACTTCCTGCTCTACAGCACCCTTTTTCCTGAGCTGATTAGTACTGACAAGATTTGGAAGTTTGTGTCCCCAAAACACCGTGGCATGGCTAGCTAGTATATTCAGAGAAACTTTCAATGAAAGAAATGTCCAATACTACTTTGTAAAGAAACGAAGAAACCATTCTTCTTTGGAAGGAAGTTTCATATGGAGATACTTAAACTGAAATATCTGATAAAAGATGCCACAAAAGAAAGCTTTATAAACCACGGGGCAGAAACAACTAATAATTTGAAGAAATCCTCCTCTTCCTGAGGCATTCCAGAAAAATCCTTTTTTTTTTTTCTCTTACTTTTATCTCACAGAAACCATTCGTAAAGAGCATGCTCAACAGGAAAAACATGTTAACTATCAATAAAAATCAAACAGTCACAGAATTTTACTTGCATGCTTTCAAAACCATAAAACCTGTCAACTAAGTAAGAATATACATGTAATATAAGCGAAACTTTTCTTATCAGTAAAACAAAAAATTCTCTTTAGTACCAGTGAATGTCATTCCTATGTGCAGATTTCTTCCCATCCCTCCAGACAGCCCTCAGAAACTTACCCTTTTCCAAATAAGACCTTGGAGCCCAGGGCGGGTCCTCCTCCGCATATGGGTCACTGTACTCCACCACGGCGGCCTCCTCCTCTTCGTAATCTTCTGGAGGAGGGGGTGGAGGGGGGGATTCATCAAAGACTGGCTCTTCCGCAGGTGGTGGTGGGGGTGGTGTGTCTGAAACTAAGAAGGTACCAAGCTGATAACAAACTACACCTAATGCAAAGTTCTGTATTTCTTATCTAAGCTAAGCTTCTATGTTCATGAACTATAAACCTACACTTGAAAATAAACTTTAAAAAAATGAGTGGGCAAGAGAATTCCTCCACCAACTATAATGTTTCCAATCTCCAAGCATGGCTTTCTCCTTCCCATGGGTTAGTGTGTATGGATGCTAAATAAAGTTTAGCCAAAATAATTAACTGAGCCTTGGAACCTGTTTATGCTAGTGTAATATAGTTTGGCTTTATATGCTATCCAAGAAGTGGTTATCAGAAATATTAATAATTTGGATACCTATAACCATATTTAGTTTATAAAAATTAGAATGACTCCAATGAAAAGTCAAATTTTAATAATCTGCTACTTTCTCTCAATGAATTTCTTAAATATAGCACCTTACCAAATCAGCAGGACAGAAATCACAAACACTTTTGGATAACTTCATCCATGAAGATGTTTGTGTTTAGTTTGGTTATTTCAGAATTTCTCCAAGGTAAATATATGAGTGATTTAAAATATTTTAAATATCTCTTTATTGAGATCTGCTTCCACAGCTCAGGTGTCAACATACAGTAATGTTTAAAATATTATCTCCAAACTCAGGAACTCAAAGCTTTTAAAATGCTTGATATACACGAGCACAGCTCAACAGAATAAACCAAATAAAGAAAGTTGCATTGATCAGTTGTCCCATTTTAATGAACAGCACAAAGTCTTATTTATGAAGTACCAGTATTGTTTCTGTGAAATTCTTTGAGCAATCTGTTTATTTTCTATTTTTTTCTCTAAACCTACTGATGGAATCAAATGGATTTTACAGGATTGCTGGCCTGGTGAGGATTATCAACTTCATACTCTGCCCTATCCCAGTATTCTTCCCATCTGCTGGGCCACTCTACTTATTAACGCATCTACTTTATGAACTTTAAAACTTTACCCATTACAAGTGTTTTAGTCCTAATGTGTTTTTTTAATAAACAAAACATATAAGTATGTGATTTTAAAATAAAGTTTATGACAAATTATATGTAGTTGGGGTAAGAATCAACAATATATCCTGTTTGCATTTAAACAATTCCACAAAAACATACATCCAAACGAACTCTGTCTTTCAAAACAATCACCTTGAGAAATTAATTACCAAATTACTCAAAAAATGCTGCGACTGCTCATTTTCACCTTTTCTAATAACCCCCGAGGGCCAATTTATGAATGTGAAAACTGGCTTTCATGCCTACAGAATTAAGTGGAAGAGCAGAAATTGGAACGCCAATGTTTATTATCTTAAAAGCTTACAATACTATAGGATAAGATAAACACACTAACTGTAAGGTAAAGTTTCATTATTATTCCCTCAACAAACATCAACTGAAAGCCACTATGGTTAGGTACTTACTACACTCAGCACTGGGAATAGAGCAGTGACATGGACAGCCAAACTTCTGTTTATAATTAAGTGCAGTAAGTGCTTTAAGTCGTTATGGAAAATACAGCAGTAGACTAACCCTCTTACATGGGTTTCTGAAACCTGAAAGAATGAGTAAGAGTTCATGTCCAGGGGGTGGAATGGAGTGGGGGTGGGTATTTCGTGTCAGATGTAAAGGAAAAAACAAATGCAAAGGTAAAAAAGCAAAGAACTGACCAAAGTTCGGCAGAAAGAGCCTTGAGGAAGCTAAAGAGGACTAAGCAGGAAGGGCCTTGCAACAGTTTGAACTTTATCCAAAGAGCAAGGGGGAGCCATGGAAGGGTTTTAAGAAGAATAACGGGATCATTGCTACAATACTTAGCACAGTAGAACTGGTTCCAAATAATTCCAAACTTCTTTCAAACATCAATCTTAATACAGAGTGACTTCAAAATAATGTATTTGAAAGCTATGACGATAATCCCAAAAGATAGGTATGTATCTAAGGTGAATGTTTTGAAGAGGACAACATTCATTTGAATGTATAAGTCCAACTATGTCTTTAAATCAACCACAGCACACCTCATACAGAAAGTTTCTCATTTTTATACATTTTGTAGGTGAGAAATGTTTATGACTATGGAAAGAAATTAGAAAAGATAACCCAAAGGCAATCACATTGTGGTAAACACTGTAGGTGTCATGGAATTCCCTCCAATACACTCAAGTAACATAAGCTATTTTCAGAAACTAGCAAGTAGAGTTGCAAAAGCACCTGGAAGAGAGATTGAGCCCTCACGCTAGTAAAACTGGATTATCATCAGTTAAAATACAAGAAGAAATGTGTCAATAAAAACGGGGCTTTAATTCACTAGGGAAGCACAAAAAAGGAGGGACTAAAAGTGTTTGCTATGTGTCAGATGCTTTCCCAAGTGCTGGGGAAACAGCCCATGAACAAAACGAGCGGAAGTCCCTGCTCTCACAGAGCTTACATTCTATCACTGGCAATGCCCACGTCCGAAGGAGCAAGAGTCCTAAGCAACAGCGTGCACATCTTCTATCCCATTGGCGAGGCCATCCCTGTTACTAGGTGTCAATGGGCTACTTCAGCCTGACAACACTAAGTCTTCCTTTAATGCCATTTCCCTTGCTCAGATTCCATGCCCACCGAGCACCTTCTGATGACAATACAGTTCCTCAGGCAGACTGCGTGCAGAGGAGTCACCACCCAATCAGACTACGTTCACTGGTCTCTGTACAATTCGTCACTGAATGTTGATACAGGCCTCCGGCTTTGCAGACATCAGTCTCCTGAGATTCCCGAATACTTCCCTCGGAGAAGACTCAATTTGTCAATAAAATTAGTTATGTTATCCTGCATAACTCAACACCAGACCACAGGCCAATGGTAATTCACTGCCGATCTATGAGGCCTCTTAGGAAATAGAGAGGCAATTTGGTCCCCTGAGACCTACCATGGCCTGGCCATTTTTACACCTGAAATCATAGGACCAAAGGAAAATTCTCAGGCCAGCCACAAAACCCTAAATTCCATAAAACACTAGGCTACTTGTTTGACCATCCCACGGGGAAAAAAATGGGCTAGCTAGTGATTAAAGAACATCTCAGATGTGATCTTTCTTTTCTTACATGTGCCTTATTTAAATTTTTTTTCACTACCAGATTTTAAGTTATTTGAAAGTAGAGAATTTCATCTTAATTATTTTATCATCCTACTAGCTGCTCATATAGTGACTTATTCATAATATTCAAATACTTGAGGTATCAGCAAATGAATACTTAGCCAATCATACATAAATGACATTTTATGCCTACAATCTGATCTACAGCATAAAGAAGACATAAACTTACTATTTTCTTGGACTCTGGCCACAAATCCCATTAAAGGTAACTGAGGAGTTACCTGTAGGATGGAGGGAGGAGGAGGAGCAAGAGATACTGTAAAAACAAAAAAGGTGTGGAGGATAAGGGGTAAGGGCGAGTTACATTAAAAGAAAAGGATAATACAATAAAACGAACATGTAAGGAGGGAAACCACTATGCATGAGCATGTTATCAGATATACTAAGGATCCTCTTTGGAGGGGCAATTCATCAGCACACAAAACAAAGTATTAGGATTACAACAGGAAGCAGTCATTCATCCACACGGGCCTGCTCTAACATGTAACGGCAAACTGAGCTCTTCATACCAGTAACAGGCTTCTCAAATAAAAGGATTACTTCAGACTACAATGAATAATTTGGGTTTCTGGAAATTACCTTGATGGTTACAAATTTAACTATTTGTCAGTAGAAGGGAAAAACCCATTACATACCAACATTCTAAAGTTATATTTCATTACATTAACAGGCAAATAAATTAGTTCTTTACTCATTAATTAAATGAATATTTACTGACTTCCTACTAAGTGGCAAGCACTCTACTAAGAGACCAATACCAAAACATTCTCTGAGAGTCAGGTCTGTGTCATTAAAATTTTTCATAGTCCCAATTCATACCACCTGCTCAAGCAGGTACATTTTTCTCCCTGACCCTGCAGAAAAGTGTTGGCCTCATTCCAGTCATTCTCCTCTCCTCTTGGTGCCTTTTCCTTATCTCAAACACCTGGTACAGTGTCTAGCACTAGTAAGCCTGCAACAAATGTCTGACATATGTAAACACACAGATAAGCCAGGTATGTGCCCAACAATTTCCCAGGATTAACTCTACAGTTATGGTTTCCTTCAGAATGGGTATAAAGTATGGCAAGCATCTTCTTATGAAGAGAGAATATCTTTAATAACTCCAAACAACAGTTAAGACTAATAAAACTTAAAAAATGAATAGTCACCACCCTCAAAGAGATCACATTCTAACTGGGCATATAAACAAAAAAGCAATGTTAACCCAACAATTACTTGTAGCAATTTCCTGCAGGTGGTGATGGTTGGTGAGACGTGGTAGTGTTAGTGGAGGGGTAGCAGGGAGGAAGACTAGATGTGACTTGAGGAAATGGAGCTGGACTGACAAGCAGACAAGAGCTGAGAAAGACAAGCTGAGAACCAAGTGAAGACAGAGGCTTAGAGGTAAGCAGCTCGCAGGCCCGGAGGTGTTCCGCACGCTGGCATAAGATACCCCAGAGAGAAGCAGGAAGCACAGAGAGAGAACTTTAACATCCACCCGACGTTAAAGTGAGAGACCTTGTATGTTAGGTGAAAAACTTCTCAGTGGAAAGAGACTGGTCTTTAATGTCACCCAACATCTGTTAACCTGATTCACCATTTCCTTGATGTTGGAACAGCAAGTTAATTAGCTTCTTTGTGCCTATTCCATAAATGTGGTATTTTAAAAGACAGATAATGCAACCTACTTTACAGAGTGGTTGCAAATAAAATTTCCAAAACAAAAAATGTATGCAGAAAGCCTGGCACCAAAAAAAAAAATAGGAAGGAGAGAACTTAGTAACACAGTGTGGAGGAAGAATACGTACAAGGATTGGCTAGTACATGAAGGGGATCAACAGCTAAAGATGATTCTTAGATTTTCCTAGTTTTCATAACTATGAAGGTGGAGGTGCCATTTAACCACATTAACCTTGGGAGGTAGTGCAGGGAAAGGGCTGGTGAGGAAGCAGGTCAGGGAGAGATGTGATAACTAGGATGCATGAAAGTGATGTGGGCATAGATCTGGGAGGCAACTGGAAAGCTTGGGTTAAGTATGTGAGAAAAATTGAGAGGTACAGAGCTAGGAGAGCTCAGTGGAGAGATGCCATGCTGTGGGTAAATGCAGGGAGAACATGCACTATGCAGAGAAGAGTTAAGCAGATAACCATGAAGCCCATCTAGACTTAAGGGGCAGAGTCGTAGAACCTTAGAAATCGATGCCTTTCTTCAAAAGATATCTTTGGTTAGGTTTTTCCCTAAAGTCGTATTTCTTGGTAATAAATCCTTAATCTGCATGCTGTCTCCTACCCTCTGAAACAATTGTGGGTATGTTCACATTTCCCTGCTTCCCAAACGGGGGTAAGAAGGAGAGTCAATGAACAGACAAGGCAGCAGATAAAACTGAGAAACAGCAGCAGACAGCAACTGGCATTAGAAAAGTGCAATTACATAAATGTTCATATCAAATAAGGTGAAAAGTTCCTCTTCTGTCAGCACCCGTCCCAACCTCCCTGTAACAGGAAGGCAGGACATTTCCCACTTCAGTCATTGTCTCTCCTCCAAATGAAAAACAAAAAAAGACCTTCTGGTACTCCAAAAAAGGAATGATTAGGAGCTTAACTCACAACAGTCTTTTTGTAAGTAGGCTGTTTAGCACTTTTCTTTTCTTAGGATATTTTTTTCCATTGATTTTCAAAGAGAGTGGACTGAATGTTTATGTTCCCTCAAAATTCATACATTGAAATCCTAATTCCTACTGTGATGGTATTTGGAGATGGGGCCTTTGGGAGATAAGATTAAGTCATGGGTGCAGCCCTCACGAACAGAATTAGGACTCACATAAAAGAAAGGCTGCAGGACACAACATGAAGACCGCAGTCTGCAGCTGGAGGGCTTCTCACAGAGCTCCATGTTAATGCCCTGACCTCCGACTCCCAGCTTCCAGGGCAGTGGGCAGTCTCTCTTGTTTATAAGCCACCTGGTCTCTAGACTCTGTTACAGCACCTGAGGCACTTACCAAACTAGGTTTATATAAATAAATGTATACAAATAAGTATACATATTTATTCCTTTTTAACACCAAGGTGCTTCATATTTATATTTAAAGTAAAGTAAAAACTGTTAACTTGTGATTAGTCCTATTTGTTTCAATGACCCTACTTAATGCTGACAAGATGAATGATAAATTGGGGCTGCAATTTCTTTGGCTGGATTAGATGAAGAAACAATGAGAACCAAAGGGTTACAGTTAGGCCCTGAAAGTTACTTTTATCATCTTGTTTCTGAAATAATCTCATTAGAAAAGAAATTACTGTGCTCCTAAGACTAGACTCCAGACACTGGGTGTTCTGGATTTTAATTCCTATGTTATAATCCCTTCCAAATGCAAGCCAAATGTAGTAACAGTGATGCTAGAGTTACATCTCATAGAAAACCCCAGTGAATGTTCACATGAATCCCAGCCTGTCAGCTCACTTCTCAGAAGCATGCATTCATGTCAAGCCTCCAAATGCACACAAAAAAGCTCATATAACACATATCTGGGATCATTTTGTTAAATCAGGTTATTAGCTACTTGAAAAAGCACAACAAATTTTCTCATTTTAAATATGAAAAAACAAGGACCACTGTAAGGCCAGCGGAGGAATACACGAGATGTAAATGATACGCTGAAGCAAATTAAGTAAAGGAGCATCTAATAGCCTTAAACACTGGTGTGCAAGATATTAAGTCTTGCAAAAAAGTGTTTTTCAAAGAACATGTTTTAGGAAAAAACAATTTTTTTTTCATTTAGAAAAAGCACTGATTAATCAGCTAGCAAAGCTGTAGCTACCCTCTGCAAATCGTTACCAAATCCTGGAGTAGAAAGGCAGAAATTAACACAGAGGACAGGAGCAAAACAGCCAACTAACTAAACTGTCTCACACATTACGCTGAAGGCTCATAATCTCAACTCAATGTACTTTCATGAGCATAAAAAATACTTTCACTAACATCATTCCATAGAGTAAGGGTATTCTTCTACTTTAACATATTCTTTCAAGTATATCAAAATCAGACTTATAAAGAAAAGTATTAAAATAAGAATTTAAAACACGTATAAATGTGCTTAAACAACCTTCAAATAATTTCCCCTACCACGTGCACAGCACAGAATACCCTTGCGTACAGTGTACGTTCTGTGCATTGTGCACAGTTGGTCCCAAGCTGTAACAGGGAAGCATCTTGGCCCCAGTACAGAGGACCAGGGAGAGAGCTTACCTTCAGAACTATGAAATAACCCACATCTAACAAACTACAAGTTAAAAATAAAAATGCATTTAGGTACAAAATATCTCCTATTCAAATATGGGTTTGGGACACTATGACTTAAGAGAATGGATGAAAGGACAGGCAGATTTGTCAAAATTAAGCTCAAAATGAGTTAAAAAGAATGGTGCAACCAAAATCAGTAAGTGTGATCAAAGATAGCAGTAAGAAAAATATATTTCAAGTAAGGCAGTTGGTAATCACACTATAGGGCACACTATAATTAGTCTATAAATTTGGCATTTAATCTACAAGAGAAACCCAAACCAGTAAAGAGATTCAAATAAAGGGACAAGGGACTCATTCTACATTTAACAAGTAGTTACTGAGCACTATCCCAGGATATCTATAATAATAAAAGCTTAATATGCTAATTAGACTGGACAGCCTAAGGTCCTTCCGGACAACCTTCCAGACGAAGCTGGGGCTGCAAGGGCCAAGGCAAGGCACTGCAGCTGCAAGGTCTGAGCCCCTTGCACAAATTTCTTGCATTGGGCCTCTAGTCTATAATAATAAAAGCGTAATATGCTAAGTAGACCAATGGCCTTCCGAACAAAGCTGGGGCTGCGAGGGAAGCCCGGTCCTGGGTGCCATAGGGAAGCTGGTGCCGGCAGCCAGGGGAAGGAAGGCCTACTCTTGCATGAATTTCGTGCATCGGGCCTCTAATAATTGTATAAAAGAATGGCAAGGTCTCAGGCTCTGAGGCACTTTACACGGTGGACATCTTCATCCAGACAAAAGAGAACACAATGAGAGGGTAAGAGAAGGATTTTTTGTTTTGTTTTTATTTTACTGATTTCAGAGAGAAAGGGAGAGAGAGAGATAGAAACATCAATGATGAGAGAGTATCATTGATTGGCTATCTCCTGCATGCCCCACCATAAAGATCGAGCCTACAACCCAGGCATCTGGCTTGATCGGGAATCAAACCATGACCTCGTGGCTTATAGGTCAACACTCAACCACTGAGCAACACTGGCCGGGCAAAGGACTGTTTTTTAATCTAAAGGTAGGTAGCATAGTTAAAACAGAAAGAACATGGAATCCGATAACCTAAATTCAAATCCTAACCTGATCATCACTTCAGTCTTAGTTTCCTCACCTGTGAAAATAGAGATGAAAATGATCACATAATTATAAGAATCAAATGATAAGTATAAAAGTATTACTTAAACTGCATTTATGAAGGGGGAGCATATTTCTTCTACATGACTCCAAATGCAACAAGGTCTCACCAAAAGGTAGTAGCCATAGGAGACAGATTTCCACTTCATAAAATTTAGGCTATAATTTTAAATTCAGGGTTTATCAAATATGGAATGAACTGATTGGCCTCGTTTTATTTATATATATACTAGAGGCCGGGTGCACAAAAATTTGTGCACTTGGGGGGGAGGAGGGGTCCCTCAGCCCAGCCTGTGCCCTCTTGCAGTCTGGGACCC